GTCTCTACCATCAACACACGTGTGGAAGACAAGATGGAAGAGGAAGGTATGAATTTCTCCAATTAATGCTCTTGTTTACACACATTTTCTTCATTTTCACGATGTTGTAAGAGTAATTATAGTCTTGTTACCTTTATAGCCTGTTGAAGATGAGAAGGATTGTAGTTTGAGTGGAGGAAAGTTGAAATTCTGATTGGGTTTGGAAAACTTTCAGACTGTAAATATATATCTTTATTTTTACTTTTATTACTTCTTCCTCTGATTTGTTAGTGGTAATCAGTGTTAATACCGATTGCTTTGACTGATCTGTAATCGAAAAGAGATTGATATTTACATTTATCTTTGTAGACTATCATGAAACGCGAATCGGTATTATTGAAGAAATCCTTCTATTTATGCCTCGTAACTTCGTGAAATTGCCATTGAGGGTCATTTTCAACTAGTACACTTTACTTCCCAGTTTGTCTTTTTTGAATGAAGTAGCAGTGAATATCAGATAATTTGCTGTATTATGGTTCAGTTAAGGCCCATATCATACAATCACTCTCTCATCAATTTTTGCATTTCCATGTGAACTTTCCATATTTGAATGTACAGAACTTTGCAAACTGTCAGGGCAACAAACATGGGCCATATTTTCCAGTAGCAACTAGGGCGTCTCGTGACGCGACACAACACCAAAAGCTGTCTTGTGATCGGAGTGAGCACAGGCTTTAAGCTCCGCCCATTTCTGTGACTTAATGGGAATGGCCGCAGTTGATGGCTTGCTATTTTACTGTACTGGTTATTTTTCCGACAGGTACACAGTATTTTGGAATATGATACCCAAGGTGGCTTTTTATATCTTATGGTGGGTAGTGCGGTGTTATAGCTATCCAATATAAGTACAATATAACCATGAAATATCCGAAGTTTAAGGGAGGATGCATCTGGCAACTCAATAAAATGTTTACCCCAGCTCAATTCCTGTCACGTGAAAGGTGTCGTGTTTCCCGTAACTGCTGGAAAAAACGGCAATAGTGCCCTTGTAAATAAACATGGGGCCATCTGACTGTAGACCTGGAAATCACTCAAACATTCACATACATATCACATTATTTTTAAAAATATAATTATGTACATGGTATTTAGAAATACTTTATAAAGTCATCTTCCATTTACATTAACATTTTCTATCAAATTTATCAATAAACACTCTAGCTGTATAGATCCTCAGTAACACAAGATCAAGACGAAAACAGCCGCAAACATCTTAGTCTGATAGGCGTTCTGTTTGCATGCTATACTTGTGTAAAGCTCCAAATTCCAACGGAAACCCAGAAATTGACAGATTAAGTGCTAGTGTGATAGGGCATTTATTTCTGTTGCAGCTTGTAAAATGTAAACTATATATTTGTGTTTGTTTAGGGTATGACATCAGGCTTTCCATGAAGCTGAACCTTATTGTATTTCACAACATAATTAATGGGGAATGGTGGATAACAAGGAAATGGATAGCAGCAGATTTTTTTATTTTTGGTTAATGTTATTCATGTGGCAGTTGTATCCAAGGTTCTTGTGGTTAGGCATACAGCACACATATGCATATGTGAATATAAACATTATATCCGGGTAAGAAGCACAAACCTAATTGCAAGTAGTATAATCGTATTGTGCCGAGACGTCACCATCTTGTTTGTTTCACCACATGGTCAGAGCACCAATTGGGGGCTTTTCTGCCGCTCTTGCAGTCATTTCATTTTTTGTTTCTATCCACCTCTGGTCTTTGAAAATAGGTCAAGATCATGCAGGGCTCATTTTAGCCATACAAGCCAAAATAAGCCTTCGATAGGTCATGTAAAAAGAAATTTTAGACAGAAATTTTTTCTCCAATAACACAACCTTCAATCTCTGTATCCAAGGAGGCACTTTCAGTTGCAGCAAGTCATTCCAATGTGGAATGACTAATCCTGAATCCTTAACTTTTCTAATCAGATGTGATGAAAGAAAAATACTCACTCACTCTCACTCACACACTCACTCACTCACTCACTCACTCACTCACTCACTCACTCACACTCACTCACTCACTCACTCACTCACTACACATCACTCACTCTCACACACACACACACACACACACACACCACACACACACACACACACACACACACACACACACACACACACACACTGAATTTTTAAAAATCTTAATTTCAGACAAGGTAGCCACAGGCATAGAGGGATGGGGGGAGGAAGAGGACCCTGGCGGAAGCAGCAGCTCAGACGGTGAACAAGTGAGCCACATGAGGAAAAACAAAAAGAAAAAAGGATCGGGAGGATTTCAGGTAAGTCTTGTTTCTTTTTTTGTTTTGTTTGCTTCTCTTATGGTATTTATTTATTTACTTTGTTTATTTAAGCATTATTATTTTCATAAGTTGTAACGAGGATTTTTTCTTCCTTTCTTTTTCTGTCTTTCGTTCTTCTTTCTTTCTTTATATTTATTCCTTCTTGACTTCATTTTCTTTCTTTCTTTTTATTTTAGTTTCCCCCCTTAACTACCTTCTTGTCCTGACTCACACACACTCTCATCTCAGTCATTCTGTGAGTGTTTGATTTGGTTTCCCCGCTTAACATCTTTGTTCTTGTCGGAAGTGTAAGAGAGACACTAATTTCTACTTCATGTTGCAGGTGATGGGCCTAAGTTCACCTGTCTTTAGAGGAATCATGAAAAGAGGCTACAAGATCCCAACTCCCATCCAGCGTAAGGTACGTAAAATTGTAGTGTCTCATGTCATGATAATATTCTTGTCATGGAGTTGTTTGAACTAAATCCACATTAGCAAAAATGACTATGCTCCTCGCTCTAGGGGGAAGTAAAGAGAGCTCCCCTAATATGACTTAGTTTCTTTGATCATTTCTGTATTCCCCTTCATTCATCAATCAAATAATTAATTCTGCCATCAACTTTTTTCTAGAGATTCTAAATCCTCCTCTTGTCTCTCCCTCTGTCTCTCTCTTTCTCTAGACATTGCCAGCAATCCTAGAAGGTAAGGATGTCGTTGCTATGGCCCGAACTGGAAGCGGAAAGACTGCTTGTTTCCTGATCCCCATGTTTGAGAAGCTGCTGAAGAGTAACCACAGTGTGCTGACAGGGCCAAGGGCACTCATCCTCTCCCCAACGCGAGAACTGGCACTGCAGGTACGTATGCCACACTTCCTATAGAAAAGGGAGAATATAGATGTGGATGTCGATATGGATATACAGGGGTCCTCCATTTACAACAGTCTCAACTTCTGACATTTCGTGGGTATGATGGTAGAAATCATGTGCAATATTTACTGTTTTTCTTCCATGTGTTCCTTTAGCTCTAGTTGATTCTCTGTATGTCATAAAAGTGTCTTGTTATGATTTAGATTATGACTTTAATACATGTTTTCATACTGTATTAGCATAGGTGAGTGACTTCGGTGCTTGTATACGTACATACGTGTACTGTATTTAAGCGTGTTTTGACTGTCAATTTCGGGTTATAACACCATTGTAGGAACGGATCTCTGTCGTAAGTTGAGGACGCCCAGTACACACATATACATGTATGTGTTTGTGTATATATATCTGTGGGTGTGGGTGTGGGTGGGTGGTTTTAATGAAGTAAGAGGTGTTTCCCTCCACTTCATCTTGGGTATGGTTCACATAAATTGGGTATGTTTTTACAACCTAAACATTGTGGTTAGGGGACAGACTGGCTGACCATTCATGAAACATAGAATATATGAATATTAGTTATAGAAGCAGTTACATACATAGTGATTCAGAACAACCATTTTATAAGAAACATTTTGAGTATAAACATGACATATTTGTACATAAAGACATCAGAATAAAAGCATGGAAAATGTATGCGAACAATAAAGGTTGGATTAGCATATTTTTCAGTCACTTCATCAATGTCATCTCGTTCGGGGCGCAGGGCACTTTGGAATTTTGTGAAATTAACAGCACATGACTCTTGTGGTTTGCGAGGCAAGAGTGATGAGGGGAGCAGGTCACTAAATTGTGTGTGTGTTTTTATACATTATTTATTTCCTTGTCTCTTTCTTTTGTTGTTTTATCAGATTTCCAGAAAGTAATCAATTTTATATTCTTTGTCAGTTAATTATTACCTAATTTGATACAGACACATAATACAAAGTCACAGTTACTCTAATATTTTATTATCTTTTACTTATTTCTAGACTCTCAAATTCACAAAGGAGCTAGGCTTTTTCACACGTCTCAAAGCCATCGTGGTTGTTGGAGGATACAACATGGACTCCCAGTTTGCTGCCATGCACGACAAGCCTGATATCATTATTGCCACTCCCGGAAGGTAGGTTGGATGGTCTTGAAGAAGGCATAGAGGAATTTATTACCTCCCCCTCCTGGACAGGACTAATGATACTAGACAAAATTTAGTTCTACCCAACCAACAATATTCTGTTATGGTACATGTAGTGTTTTGATTAATACAGCCAGAAGTGTAGTGGGTCATTGGCAACCCAGCTAACATGCAGTGGCCGTCGCTCCAGTCACAACCACAGCCTTTTCACTGATTTTCTGATGCACATAACTTGGTTTCCCACAGGTCCCCCACAATCTGTTGGGATGAGGAGATAGGCATAACTCAAAAACCTAAAAATGAGTTACAAGCTCAATCAAAGGACTAAATGGATCACCAAAAAACTATAGGGACATCAAAAATTGTTGGTTGGATGAAACTATAAATTGACTATAATATTTTGGTGCAAGAGAAAGAGATGTAAGGTATGCAAAGGTATAGATTGCAGGGATTCTTCTGTATGCCATAGGTCTGTCATGGCATACAGAAGGGTTAGTATTTGCATAATGTATTAGCAGTATTTTGTCGTATGTTAGGGTGATTGTTTGTGAAAGAGATTGGGGATTAATATGCAGGAAGTTTTGTTATTCAAACTAAGATATTTTTTTTTAGTACAAGATCCTCTCCAGCCTCCTCCGTTACCTTCTTTCCCTCTCCCTTCTCTTCCTTCTCCTCCTTGTTCCTCCTACTTCTCAAGATCATTATAATAAGAAAAATATTGTTCTCGCTTTTTAGATTGGTCCATCTTTGTGTCGAGATGAGCTTGAAGCTGGAGACCATAGAGTATGTGGTTTTTGATGAGGCTGACAGACTCTATGAGATGGGCTTTGCGGAGCAGATCAATGACATTATTAGCCGTCTCCCTGAAGTTCGCCAGACACTCCTCTTCTCAGCTACGCTCCCCAGGCTTCTGATCAACTTCGCAAGGGCTGGTCTGAATAATCCTGTGCTGATTCGGTGAGTGTCTTATAGGTGATAAGACTTGTTGGTATTGTAGATGATTTCAGTCACAGAAAAAAGGAATTAGTTGCTTTTGTTTAGTATTTTCTCTCTGATTATTCCTGCAATTGTTTGTCTTGATCTTCATCATCATCATTGCTTTCTTTCTCCACCGTAAATCAGTTCCTGTTTTGAAAAAGACTTTACTGGAAAATTATTCATAATTGGAAAATCCTTCCGTCTAGACATTGTGTATCAGTTATTACCTATCTTGATATATCACTGTTTACACTGTCACTGATGATTACTTGTTTCTTGAGCATTTCCCTTCTCGACTTCGAAGACACAGTTGATGAGTATCGTGACACCTACAAGGCATGATTGCAGTAATCCTTATTTTCCTGACAGATTGGATGTGGAACACATACTCTCAGAAAACCTGAAACTAGCTTTCTTCAAATGCAATTCAGAAGACCGGCTTCCCCTGTTGTTCCATCTCCTTCAGAATGTCATAAACAGCAGGGAGCAGTCTGTCATTTTTGTGGCCACCAGCCATCACGTTGAATACCTCCAATCGGTGAGTTTTCTGGCATTTTCCTTTATTTTATTTAGAGAGAGAGGGGGAGGGGGGAGCAAGGGAGCACGAAAGAGAGAAAAGTACGTTACCCAAACATGCCCAACTCTTGTAGAGTATATTACACTCAATAGACCCCCTGGGTAAGATATTTACAATTGTGTTCATATTATCTTTGATATCATTTCTCCAATTCCCTCTCTGAAAGGATCTATATATTGACATTCCATTACATAGTGTTTCAAGTTATGCCCAAGTCTTTCTCCAGATACTCAAAACTTTTGAAGTGTCTTATTAGAAGGCAGACTCCCAAAGGGAATTAAAGAGAGAGGAAGTGTGTGTGTGTGTGTGTGTGTGTGTGTGTGTGTGTGTGTGTGTGTGTGTGTGTGTGTGTGTGTGTGTGTGTGTGTGTGTGTGTGTGTGTGTGAGAGCTGTGTGTGTGTGTGCGTGTTGTGTGTGCTGTCTGTCTCTCTCTCTGTGTGCATGTGCACGTGCATATGAATGCTTACTTGCATGTGTGCATGCATACTGGTGGAGCAATGTGATTTTAAATAAAATAGTTAATCAAGTGATAAAGGACTGGACTCGTTTGATACATGACTTTCCTTTTTTTCCAGGTCCTGGATTTGGCTGGCTTCTCTGTCACCTATTGTTACTCCTCCCTGGACCCGGCAGCAAGAAAGATCAACATCGCTAAGTTCCAAACAAAACAGGTAATTAAAGTTTTTCTTCAGTAGAATTACAGTGGGAGAAAATGATAATGGTTTTTCACTCATGGCAGTTGGATGGCAAGATCTTAACCCATTGGCGCCGGGTGTCACGTACGTACATGCCATGGCTGTTGTGGACCAAATGCCGGGGGCATCATGCCATGCCCATTCCCGCGCTACTGGCTCGTCGGATGGAGGTTGTTTTTCTCCACTAGTAGTGGCTTCATTTATATGGTAAAGATTTTAGGCAATGGCACCTAAAGTGAAGGTAAACCTTTAAAATTTTAATATTTTTATAAATTTTAGAAAAATAAAAGCTTTTAGGTGCTATATGTCGCTCGCAAACTACCAATCGAGCCGGGCGCAAACAGGGGAAACTGCCAGTGCGCGCCAACAAGCCAGTGCATACGTAAACTTGACAAAAATTTTACTCGTCGCTGATGGGTTAAATTTTGTCTTTTGCTCTTTTTTTTTGTTTAGTAATTTGCTGCTACTTACAAGGCCAGGTACATTGTTCACCTCTCTCTCATTCTCTCTCTCCCCTCCCTCTCTCCCTCCTCCCACTCTTCCTTCCTCACTCCTCCTCCCTCTCTTCCTTCCTCACTCCTCCTCCCTCTCTTCTTTCCTCACTCCTCCTCCCTTTCTTCTTTCCTCACTCCTCCCTTTCTCTCTCCCTTCCTCACTCCTCCTCCTTCCTCCTACCTCCCTTCCTCCCTCTCCTCTTCCTCTTCCTCCCTCATTCTCTCACTCTCCCTCCTCCTCTCTCCCTCTCACTCTCCCTCTCTCCTCCTCCTCCCTCCCTCTCACTCTCCCCCTCTCCTCCTCCNCTCTCTCTCTCTCTCCCCCCCCCCTCTCTCTCTCTCTCTCTCTCCACCCCCCCCTCTCTCTCTCTCTCTTCTCTCTCCTCTCTCTCTCTCTCTCCTCTCTCTCTCTCTCTCTCTCTCTCTCTCTCTCTCTCTCTCTCTCTCTCTCTCTTCCTCCCTTCCTCCCTCTCTCCCTTCCACGCCTCATCCATCCCAATTTCTATCCATTTTCCTCCATGCCTCCCCTCTTTCTCCCTTTCCCTAATTTCCCTCCCTCTCCCTTACCCCCTCCTTCTCCCTTACTCCCCCTTCCCCTTTCCCTTACTCCTCTCCCCCTCCCTTTCCCTAGCTCCCTCCCCTCACCTTCCGCCCCCAACCCCCCTCCCCCTTTTCCTCCTCCTCTCTCACCTACTCCATTTTTCATTTTTTCCTCTAATCTCTAACTGCGTCATCCATATTTCACATCCGAGGAAGCGACATGTTGTGAGGCGGGTGAGGATGAGGGGGGGGTGAGGAGTAGGGGGGAGGAGAGGGGGAGGGTGAGGTGAGGGAGGGGAGAGGAGGAGGGGAGGGGGAGGGGGGATGAGGATGAGGGGGGGGTGAGGAGGGAGGGGGGGGGAGGGAGGGGGAGGGGGAGAGGAGAGGGGAGGGGGATGAGGAGGAGAGGAGGGGAGGAGGAGGGGAGGGGGAGGGGGGATGAGGGAGGAGGGGAGGGGTAAATTAGACGAGGGGGGTGTAAATGGAGGAAAAGGGGCGGGAAGGAGGAGAGAAAAAAGAGAGATAAAAAAAAGGAAGGAGAAAAATTATGTGGAAATGGAGGTATAAATATAAGAATTTTAAAAAAGTTGAAGAGGAAGGAGGGAATGATTAAAGGAAGAGGTGAAAGAGGAAAAAAAAGAGCGGAGAAGGAGAAGGAGGAGGAGGAGAAGAAAGAAGAGAAGAAGAAAAAAAGAAGACAAAGAAGAAGCGAAGGAAGGAAGGAGGAAGGGGGAAGGAGGAAGAGAAAAGAAGAAGGAGGACAAGGAGAAAGGAGGGAAGCAGAAAAAAAAAAAAGATATAGGTGATATAGGTGAAAATTTATAATAATGGTAAAAATAACAACGATAACAAATATGATAATAACAACAATTAAAGCAATTCCAAAGACAGCAATTAATAAAAAAAATAAAAAAAACGATAAAGAGAAAGAAATCCTAGGCTATAAAAAGTAAATTGAGAAAATGAAGATGCACAAGACAGAAAAAAAAAAACGAAAAAAAGACATGTCTGAGATTATAATGAAAGCCAAGATAATGATAATAAAGATGGATACAGGGAGACGAGGCGGTAGGGGAGGGGGGGGGAGAGAGAGAAAGAAAAATGGAGAAACAAATAGCAATGACCCTAATGATAAGATTAGCGGGGAAGGCAGAAAAAAGGAAAAAAAGAGAAGGAATAATTGGCGGTGAGGGTAGGGGTAGGGGAGGGGAGGGGTGAGTAGGATGGAAAGGAGGAGGATGGGGAGGAGAGGGTATAGGGAGGACACAAAGGAGGGGGAAAGGAAAGGAGGAGGAGAGATGAGAGAAAGAGAGGAGAAGAGGAGGAGGGGCGAGGAGAAGAGGAGGAGGAGGAGGAGAGGAGGAGGAGGAGGAGGAGGAGGAGGAGGAGGAGGAGGAGGAGGAGGAGGAGGAGGAGGAGAAGGAGAAGAAGAGGAGGAGGAGGAGGAGGAGAAGAGGAGAAGAAGGAGAGGAAGAGGAGAAGAAGAAGGAGGAGGAGGTGGTAAGAGAACATAGAGAAGCAGTTAGAAAATCAAAACACACACACACACACACACACACACACACACACACACACACACACACACACACACACACACACACACACACACACACATACACACACACACACACACACACACACACACACACACACACACACACACACACACACACGGGCGCGAATCCCACGTGCTGCATTTCATCGCAACGCCGCTCGGATGAACGGTCAGATATTGCATTAAAGTAATTGCTAATGTTGCACGTGACCTTATGACGTCACAGCCTCTATGACTAATAATTTTGGGATATCAAGAATAAGAAGGTTACGTAATAGTGAATATGTGAAGCAGTAAAGATTAATAAAGATGAAAACTGTCACGATATCAAATAGATAATAGATAATAAGTTGCCCCAATCTCGCAATGCTCATAATAATAATAGTTACTAACTGATACAGTCATTTAAAAAAATCTATCAAAATTTAATGGCATCTAAGTCGGGCTAAGACACATCGGTTAAAAAAAAAAAAATAATAATAATATAATAAAATAAAATAAAATAAATAAAAAAAGAAAGAAAGAAAAAAAAAAAAAGAAAAAGAAAAAATAAAAAATCTGTCCATAACTTTTTGAGTGATCCTGCTAACCAACCAACCAACAAACTAACCAACGCTCCCAAAAACATAACTTCCTTGCCGGTGGTCATAAATCAGCAAGTCAGCGCAAACAAGAAAATATATGAATAGACAAGTAAACAAAGCTAAAAATATACCAAACACATATCGATAAAAATGTCTTTCTTCATCACAAACACACACAAAAAAATCTCACTTAATAATACTTAATATGATAATGATATATTTACCTTTCGACACACAATCACCTCCAATTTGCATATTTCGCTTATTTATAGCAACGGAAGGGTGTTCTCGAAGGAAAAATTATATTTGAACAACGTCAGCGCCATCTATCAGGAGCCACGAAATAACTTCCTTTTCCAAACCTTTCGACAGCGCTCTCGAATTAGAATCTAACTCTCCTTAACCTACCCTAACATGAGGCATAGTCAGGGGAGGGGAGGGGAAGGGGAGGACGGGTAAGGTGGGAGGGTAGAGGGATGGTGGAGGGTGGGTGGGATGGTGGGAGGTGAGGATGGTGGAGGGGTGGGTGGGATGGTGGGGGGGAAGGAGGTAGGATTAGGGGAATGGAGGGAAGGAGGGGGAGGGTGGGGTAGAGGAGGCTGGATTACGGGAGAGGAGGGAGGGAGAGGGAGGGGAGTGGGGGGTGGGAAGGAGTCTGGGTCACAGGGAGTGGAGGGTTGGAGTGAAGGGTAGAGGAGGCTGGATTCGGGAGGTGGAGGAGGATAGGAGGGGAGAGGGAAGGGGGAAGGATTCTGGTCACGGGAGGTGGAGGGAGGGAAGGAAGATAGGGAGAGAGAGATGGGAAGTGTGCATTCACCGTAAAGGGGGGGGGGGGGGGAAGGAGAAAGGGTGTTTCAGTGAAGAGGGAAAAATATGTATAATCAGGAAAAAAGAGGAAAAAAAGAAAGAAAAAGAGGAAAGTATATATATTCAGCGAAAAGAAAGGAAAAAAAAGGGAAGCATATGCATTCAGCGAAGAGAGGAATTCAGGTGGAAAACGGGGAAAAAAAGAAAGAAAAAAAAAGAGGAAAGTATATGTATTCAGCGAAAAGAGGGGAAAAAGAAGGGAAAAAAGAGAAGTGTGTGTATTCAGGTGGAAAAAGGAGAAAAAAGAAAAAAAAAAAAAGAGTAGAGCATATATATTCAGCGAAAAGAGGGGAAAAGGAAGGAAAAAAGAGTAGAGTTTATGTATTCAGCGAAAAGAAAAAAAGAGCAGAGAGCGAAAAAAAGGAAGGAAAAAAGAGTAGAGTATATGTATTCAGCGAAAAGAATGGAAAGAAAAAAAAGAGTAGAGTATATGTATTCAGGTGGAAAAAGGAGACAAAAAAGAAAGAAAGAAAAAAAAGTAGAGCACATATATTCAGCGAAAAGAGGGAAAAAAGAAGGAAAAAAAAAGAGTAGAGTATATATATTCAGCGAAAAGAGGGAAAATAGAAGGAAAAAAAATAGAGCACATATATTCAGCAAAAAGAGAGAAAAAAAAGAAAGAAAAAAGAGTAGACATATACACTCAGCGAAAAGAGGGGAAAAGAAGGAAAAAAAAAGAGTAGATATACACTCAGCGAAGAGAGGGAAAATAGAAGGGAAAAAAGAAAAAAAAAGAATAGAGCACATATATTCAGCAAAAAGAGAGGAAAAGAAAAGAAGAAAGAAAAAAAGAGTAGAGCACATATATTCAGCAAAAGAGAGAAAAAAAGAGAGTAGACCATATACACTCAGCGAAAAGAGGGGGAAAAAGCAGGAAAAAAAAGAGAGAGAAGCGTGTGTATTCAGGGAGATGAGGAGAGGCTGGCGGAATGACGG